TGCTGAAGGCAGGTCCGGTCCAGGCTGCATTTGAGAAATGGCGGGGAGTACTCTTGGGGGTGCACAGGAGACGTGCAGCATTGTCCTAAGAATAATCCTGAATGTTTGGATGGGGAATGAGAGCTAGCGGTGTGGGGGAAGGGAGGGGAGAAGAGGGAGGCTGCAACCAGAGGAGGAGCTGGGCTATATCAGAGAGAGTGTAAATCCTCTCAAGGAGGAGAAAGTTGGGGAAATGTGATGGTCTGGCTGGGGATTGGAGAGCAGGCTGCAGAAGGGAGGAGCCAGGAGGCTGTCAGGAGACTTGCAGAGATAAAAGGGAGGCATAAAGCTTAAAGTGCCTGGAGAAACGGAGTGAAACTTTGGATGCTGAGGAACGGAGTGAAACTTGGATGCTGTTCAAAGTGCCTAGCACTTGCCTTGCAGGTGAGCAAGGATCCAGGACCGAAGGACAAGCTTTGAGTCTCCACTTGTCTCCTCCGGTGCCAGCACACGCTGGCTGCACTCCTTGCATCACTCCAGAGGCCCCAGTCATTTATTGCTTGTGTGTGTTTCTCTCTCTGACCTCTGCAGAGTAAAGCTGAGACCATCTTCCCCTCCACCCAAGCTCCCCTCCACCATGGCCTCGGGGAACAGTGACGACCCTCCTCAGGAAAGGAATAGCAACTGGTCCGGGAGAAGAAACAGCAATGGGCAAAGACGGCTGTCGGGGATCAATGCAGGTAAAAGGGATTTTGTTGTGTTTGGGGGTGGGAGGGCATAAAATAGTTTTTCACTTCTCTTCCACTTTGATTAGCCTCGTACTCTCTCCTGTTTCTTTTAAAAAGGGAGAGGAGGGAGCCCTGGGCTAGGTGGACTTGGTTTCAAGCATGTGGCAGTGGAAGTGAAACCCCACAGTCTCACTGCTGAGCATTTCATGGAAAGGCATTTTTTTTTTTAATACGCAGTACACAGTCACAGAGGTTATTTGGAGGATGACACTAAAGCTCTGCAGTTTGCTCTGTAGCTTTCTGCATGCTGCCCTGCCAGCGTGCTTCAGTGCTGGGTGGTCCTGGCTAAAGCTGTCTGCCCCTTGAACCTGACTTACAGCCCTCAACGCTAGCCCGGTGCAAAGCAGCTTCTGAGCAGAGCCTATTCAATCAGGTGAAGAACATGAAACAAATGGCTGCTTGCTAAGAAGGCGAGACCAGCCAGCTCATGCCATACATTGTTATCTATTGGTTCAGCTCTCCATGGCTTTATCGGCTTGGCTCTTTGCTGGTTGCATGTCAGCCAGCACGTAAACGTCAGACCCCACTGGCTACCTAAAATACAGTTTGGCATACCCGCAATGGGGAATATAGAGGCAAAAATCTTGCCTTCATTATGGCACACGTGCAGAACTTAATGGACTGTGTCAGTCATTGTGTTTGCTAATAAAAGGTGTGAAACTGGGTGCAGAGCTGAAAGGAACCTGGGCAGATGCTTCCACTCCACGTTTCGTCCCAAGTCCACACCATACCTATGCACCACGCGCTCCTAAGCGCGGGTGACTTTGTTACCTGTTTTGCAGGTGGACTGTAAACGAGCTGAGTCACGACTGCTCTGTCAACAGTGCAGTGCTGGTGATGGTGCCTAAGTGTTTATGCAGTTCAGCTCACCTCCAGCCCAGAGCTTTTATTGGTGTCATTATACTGTTTGTATTGCGGCGGAGCCTGGGGGCCCAACTGGGCTTGCAGCCTCTTTAGGCACACAGTCCCTGCCCTACCAAAGTTTGCGAGATGCATAGAAGGCAGTTTACTCGTGCCAGACTCCCGTTGAGGTCAGTGAGATTTTGCTTGAATAACATCTGAGGAGCCTATAAATAAGTGGGCACCTTTTGGGTAGTGTTTTCAAAGCACTTGTCGTTGGCCTTATTTTTCTTGCCCCGGAGAGCCCATGCGAGTCTTTGTACGTACATCCAGTTAAACTTTTGAGTTTGAATTTGCCTTCCTTTCTCAGGTAAAAGCTGTACAGATGCCAGCAGGAGCTGAGCTGTATTGTTGCCTCAGCCCTATGCTGTGAGACTGCAGGGACTGGAAGGTCTTTTGGCAACAGGTGTCTGGCCTAGCTGAATTTGAGTTGGGGGAGTGAAGGATTGTGGGGGAGGTTTGATTTCCCTGCCTGTTCTTTGCCCACTTCTATTTGAGCATAATAGAATGCACAGGGGACCCCGAGATGAGGCGGACAAGCATTGCAGAGCAGCTAACACCTGCTGTCTGCAGGGTCATACCCTGCAGGGCAAGCAAGCATGAGGTATGTGGGATAATCCAACTTGCATCTACCACAGGGTTAGAGGAGTACAGCGATGTACCTCGTACTCTGTAATACGCGGTCTCATCTCGCAGTACCTTACTTGTGTGGCTCTGCCCTTTGGATGGGATGATGAGGCATAAGGGAACTGTTTGATGCTCAGGGGAAAGAGAATTCTCTTGTTACCAATTCGATTATTTTCTCCATATTTTTAGTTCTTTACGCTACTGGGATCTTAGTGGATAGGTCCAGAATGGTCTCGGATTGAAACTACATTATTTTTGGACCCTGGAAGACTTAAGAGCAGCAATGGCGGTGTTGGGAAAACTCCCAGAAAAACGTTTGCTACCCTTAATGCCAAGTCAGAATTTCCATGGCATTATAGCAAAATATCAGATTTTTATAACGATAGGCATATCAGATGATTAAAGCATTGCCATAGCAAATTCCAGTTAATTGGGTAGTTGAAGCAATGGCAAGAATGGACTCTGACAGTGCCAGGATGCATTTCAAACCAGAGACCCCATCTCCAAATAACACCCCTTGTAGTACTCTTGTATTACTATTACTTAAGCTATTTGATCTATCATAATTTCTCAACGTATGTCAAATGTGGTTTGCACCTGAAGCTAAAACCCATCATATCTAAGTCTTCAGCTGTGAGCTTGGTTTTTCAAGGATCCTCCTCCTCTCTTCATCAGGTCTAAATTTTTTTTATGTCCTAAGACCCTATATTTGCCTCACATAGCACTGCCCACTTTATAATACTCTTACCTTCACGGTTTCAGGCCCAGCGAGACTTGTTTAGCCCAACTCCTTTGCTAAAATCTGTATCTTATAAACACCTACTTTATTCTCCTAAAGCTTTTCTGGGCAGCACCCTGGAGTATTGCCTTGAATCCTACACCCCCACCACCCAAACGCTGCTTGGAGCATGAGTCAGACTGCCATCTATATTTGTCTGGACCTTCTGTTTTGAAGCTAAGGCTTCATTGATTGTGTAAAAAGGCAAAAAAGGACTGGACTTGCTATAGGTAGCTGGTGCCATAGAGGTAGACTCTACCCAAGCGGAGTGTATCCTGTGAAAAGGGGAGACTTTTCACGGCATAGCTGTACAGGAGATTTAACAAGGGAGGCAGGTGGGTGCAGTGCTGAGGGTACTCAGTTCAGGGATTCACAGGTAGGGATGGCCTTCCAACCCTGGCCCTAATTAGTCTGTCTGTGCCTCAGTTTTCTAGGGATGGTTGCCAGAGATGCAGTACAGTGCTACGATTATTAGAGAAATGGTGTTGTATACATATCTTGACTAGATGAATCAAAAGAAGGGGAGGTTAAACACAGGAGAAAAGAACAAGAGTCCTGCTAAGTTCATAACAGAACAGCTCTGTTTTTGTAAGCATTACAATACAACCAACCTCTCCATCCCCCATATTTTTCTGCTGCTGTGGGGAACACTTGACCTGTAGATCTCAAAGTACTTGGCCAAGTAAGATAAGCATTACAATACTCATTTCACACCTGGAGAAATTGAGACATGGAGGGAGGGTTACAGTGACTTGCCTCAAGGATATACAGTGGAGACAAACAGAAGCCAGATGTCCTGGCTGTCACTCAGCTGGGCCCCATCTATAAAAAGTGGGAATCACTTCCTCTCCGACCCTCTGGAGTCATTAACTTATCTGCATTTCAATAACTGGGATAGGCTAAGAGAGTGTTGCAGAATCAAGTCTTAAATGCGTCCTCAGTCTTGGCCAGTGCAAAGCTTCATTGCTACATGAACTGCATGAACAGTTACTTATGTGGCCTTATTGACAGATCCACAATGGCTTGATCTTCCCATTGACAAGGCCACCTGCAGAACAGGCTTAAAATCAGGTTAGTTGCTCAGAGCTGGATGCATGCTGTCTGAAATGTATAGATTTTGGACAAACTCAAGCGGGATTCTTTCTTCCAGGCCTGCAAGTCGGATCTCTGACACTGTGCAGGCATAGACTACTGGATTTTCCCACCAAACTGTATTTATATTCTAGAGATACAGCCAGTGGGTGGTCAGTTAAGAAATTAGACCATAGATCTCTCAATTTAAATGCAGCTGATGTAGAAAACCTAGCTCAGATTGGAGGGTTTCTGCATGCTTGAATATTATGTAATTGGGGCAGCAGCTGTTATCTGTAGAGAGGGTGAGAAGCACTGTTGACCCAATTTCTTTGTAAAACAGCAACTCAAAATTAGGAATGGGTTTTCCTACCAAGACGGGCAAAATTGCTCTTCTGACAAATATTGCAAGACCCTGTAGCACGTAGACACAGGTCTTATCGCTCTAAAGTCTACACTGCTTACGGAGGTTTTACTAAAGTGTACCTTGTTGTGGTTCTGGGGGAGGAGGGATTCCCCTTCATTTCAGATGCCTGATGCATCTGTTTTTAAACAGCAAGGCTTTGACAATTGTATCTAGGGCCTCTGCTGCTGTCATTTAGGGACAGGCTGAGTGAAAATGTAGAGATTCCATACTGGGTCACTAGTGTGGTCGCTAATGAGGTGAGAATAGGCTGTGATGGGCCTCGGTGTATGAAGCTTGCAAATAACATTTTTTTTTCCAGTTCCTCTGTTGGTCTAATAAAAGATATCACATTACCTGCCTATGTCCTTAGACCAACACCGCTACAACCAAAACCCAGTGTGCATATATTTTTAGGGTTCTTCTTTCTTTAAATGGAGGCGGTTTGGCTTCTCCAGAGAGCAATGGAAAATGAAGAAAGATGAGAGATGGCTGGCTCTGCATTTCTGGTCTATCTGCTTGTAACCACTCTGGGGAATTGGGACTGAGCTAGGCACCTTCCAAAGCCAAAAAGGTCCCCCTGTTTTGAGTGTAACGTAACTCTTTCACCTGCAGCAAGGGATTGATTGAATTGGCCTTTGGCCTGCCTGGAAATGGGAACATAGCTCAGATTGGTAGTGGCAATGTGTAGGCATTGCACAGGGGTGCACATGCACCCCCCGAGAGCATTGGTGCATCCCCTGACCAGCCGTGCTTGCTGCTCAGGCAATGGGCAGGGGGGCAGGTGGGAGCCCCCTGCTAGTGCTGGCTGGGGAGTGGGAGCAGTGTTGGTGAGATTAACTGGGGGGTCCCCCCCCAAAGCCACTGACTGGTCACTGGGGGGGCATGTGCCCCCCTGACTAAGGTGGCACCAGTCACCCATGCAGATAGGGAGTCAGATTTCTGGGTTTTGACACTGGGTGTGCCACTGACTTAATGTGTGGCCTTGGCCATGTCACTTCATGTCTGTGCTTCAGTGTCCCCTTCTCTAACATGGGGATTAGTCTGGAGTATGCAGGGGTCTGGTAAGCAGAGGAGAGGTTTGGGCTTAGGTCTGAGCTAGCTTTTCCTCTGCTCTGCTGCATCAATAAACATACATATGCCTTGGGGTGTTGGCATATCGGGTGCATTGGC